AAGTAAATCATCTAAATATATTGATATTTCCCCGGAGTCAATTAGATCTTTAAAAATTTGGGTGACGTAGCGTTGAAACTTAATGGGGGCACCCTTTAAACCGAAGGGCATTTTTAAGTACTCATACTGCCCCAACGGTGTAACAAATGACGTATACTTAATAGTCTTCATGCATCTTAACGTGAAAGAACCCATCTCTCAGATCGAGAGTTGTAAAATACTTCTTACCAGCTAATAGATCTAATTGATCTTCGATCAAGGGCAACGGGAAATTGTACCGTGACCTTATTCAGCGTCCTGAAATCAACGCACATTCTAGTTTCCCCGTTTTTCTTTTTTGTCAACACAATCGGTGACGCGTATTCTGAGGTACTTTCCCTGATGATATCTTTAGATACAAGCCCATCTAAAATAGATCGTAACTCTGCCTTTTCGTGATAAGAAAGTCTACGCGGTGTACAGGAGAACGGCCTGTTGTCTGTAAGAGTAAGCTCTAATGTATTTTCTGTAGCGGGCGTCTGAGGTCTTTGTGCTTCAATATAATGCCTCTCGAATAAATCGCGTACCCGTGCCGTCACCTCAGCCGAAAAGTCTTCGTTGATGCGCATATCTTGCGAGGTCACGCGAGAACTACCCTGATCTACCTCAATATTCATAATTTCGATGACTTCATTTTCGCTCTTTAACGAAAGCTTCGCCGATCTCATAAAATCACGACCTAATACCATGGCGCTCTGCATCGTTCTATCCGTGACTACATATAAAATAATATTACATTCGACTTGCTCAAAAATGAGTCGCGCTTCTACTTGACCAATTACCTCCACTCGGCTGCCGTTCAGCCCGCAATATCTATCGAGTTTTGAATCAGTCGTTAAATACTTCTGAGGGATATAACACTCTTTCACGAAACTAATCGGACTTCCGGAGTCAACTAATGCGTCAAAAATCATCTTAAAATAATTGTTCCCTTCACTTAGCTGCAATTCCACCACTCGCCGGAAATCGCTATCCTCCTGACGTTCTTGGTTCACACAATTGACGTCGGTAGGGGGTCTACACTGAGCCGCCCGGTGACCAAATTTGCCGCACTTGAAGCAAGATCCTCGCTCTCTTCTGGGCCTCGGGCAGTCTACTGCTAGATGTCCATCCTCATTGCAATTATAGCACTTCCGCGAATCTGCTGCTTTCGGCTTCTGTTGGTCTCTATTCTGCGATCTACTTTTCCCTACCGTTACGAACGTGGATTGTCGACGGTGTGCTTCCTTGGGTGGGGGAACGCTTGCAAAGGCATTCAGCATCACATCTAATGACTCATAACGTTGCACCCTGGCTTGCGTACGTAGTTCCTGGCTAGGAATACCCTCGATGACATAACTTATGAGCTCGTCGCCTGAGACCGGTACTCGGTTTGCAAAGGTTATTTTGTCGTGCAGATAATCTGCAAAATTCTCGCCTGCGGTCCACAGTCTCGCCTCTAACTCGCGTCGCAAGGCCAATGGGTCCGACCGTTGCCCGTACATCCTTCTCAATTCTCGTAAGAGATCCTCACAACTTAATTCAACACAATCGATCCTCGAATGATACCACTTCAAGGCCTTACCAGTTAACCTACCGCATATCAGTGCCTTGGCCTGATGATCATCTAGCGAGTACGAAACGAGTAATTTTCTCACTTGCCGCTCCCATCTATCGAGATCCAACCCGGTACCGTTGAACTCGCCAACCAGATTCTCGAACTCTTTTCATTTTCTTACGCCGACTCCGACGGAGGCGTCTACTTCTGATCGTGGTGTCATCCGTAATAACTCTAATTCTCCCCTCAGTAATTCCCTCAGTAATATTGGAAAATATTTAAAAAATAATGGACTTAATTTGCCCACTTCACGCGCTTATCTGCCGGGAAGTAATATCTCTATGCCTGGATTTTTTTATCGCAGACCCTTATAGAAATATCATACTAAAAATCATTGATAATTACTTATTTTCAGTATTAAAAATACTGGATAATAAGTAATTATCAATGATTCTTAGTATGATATTTCTATAAGGGAATATAGAGGCTGTAATATATTAGCAATAACTAGACAAACTTCTTTCATTAACTGTCTAACAGTTGACTGCTCAACTCGAAAAGAAAATGCAATA